AATTACACAAAACAGTTGTCCTGAATAGAAACTATAAATTAAAATCGCAGGAATAAACCTTCCCACACCTATTAAAAGAGAGAATGAAATAATGTTGAGATTCTTTTCCCAACAGGCTAAGATATCCAATTGTGCTGTTTTGAATCGCCTGCTTTATAGACTGTCAAGTTTGCTTTATGTACATTGTTAAAGTATAACCCATTAGTTTATATTTCTGAGTTAAATGGTTATTTAACATATCAATGCACCAAGTTTAAAGAGGTCCTAGGTTCAAACCCTTGGGTGAAATAAATGGCTGTACAGCCTGTACTAATATTGCTAGCTAACTTGAACCAAAGAGGAATCACATGGACAAGTAAATTAAGTAGTGCAAGTTCGCAAGGAAGAAATAATGGAACTCTCAATTCTCATATGCTTTATTCATCCAAAATCAAGTGATGAACTTGCTCTACCTCACATATATGTGGCGATTTCATCCATCAACCTTAATCTTTAAGAAAATTTTAATGGATGTGTTCATCAGTTTAACAGCCCACCCATGCAATAACTATCAGAACATAGGTATTGTTTGTGGTACTTATTGTTGAACTCAGAAGTACTATGCATGCAGAAGTGTAAATGCCCTAACACTTAGTTATGAGCTTTGTACTTTCCCTGCATCTTCTAGAGGTAATAAAACCCTCTATTTACTCGTCCTTCCCTCTTTTAACCTTCCTCCATGGCTCCACGCATGGAGTTCCCTATTAATGAAATCACTGGTTGTGAAGCTACATTTTCCCCTTCCAACCCACAGAATAACTATGATAAATTGTACGTGTGCTGATGCATGTGCGTGCATGCATGTGTTACACACACAATATAACAAAAATAACAATGTTAAATCATGACCAGAAGACTACGTCGGCTCTAAATTTCAAAGTAGCTTACTGATATTTCTGCATCAACTCCCTGAAAACTGGGCTCTAGACAAACATAATAGTCAACTTGGGTAGTCAACTGGTATTAGCTCCAGAACAAGATGGTCTCTTGGATAGGATACTATAGCTTCTACTACGTGCATAAATCTGAACTTTAAGACTCTATCTACACCAATAAATCTACATAACTTGATGCTTCCTTCCACCTATCATTGGACTTACATCCACATCCTTTGAATATAGGATAGTGAGCCAGCAACTACAACCTCTCGTTTTGGATCAGTATCCTAATGGCATAAAAGATACACATGGATAACATTCATATATTGCATGAACTAATGGTCCAATAATAAATGATAACAAACTATAGCCACATATCAAACAACAAATTCGGCTACCTAAATGATGTGCACTATATTAGACGAACTACGTACTGTAAGACAAGCGTGATAGCAAATTTTGATGATGTACAATCCAAATAGTTGGCGGTTAATAAAAGTATATAGAACAAAAAGGACCTTTATACAAGGTGGGAAGTTCTCGATGCACATAATTTTCTAAAAGTTATGTTTTATGAGTAGATCAGTATGTATGGTTGACATAACCCAAGCATAGGACCCACCATGTGGTAAAATAGCTTAAAATAATCTATTAGTCTAGGAGCTAATTTTAAGTTTATAGGAAACAACTATGCTGCAAAGTTACAAACACGAGTGGGAATAGGAACTATCCAACCAATAAGAAGTCTAAATGCAAACCATTAATTGAAACTTATAATTTTTAGCTTATATAGCATGCACACAAATACGAGGCAAGCACAACAGGAACAAGCACATTACCGACAATTAGAAATTAAAGACGAAGGAAACAAGTAAAAGCTGAATGTAGTTTGTCTGAATCATTTCTGATTTCAAAAACCTTATTTTTTATATTAGCCACTTCTTGTAAATGTGTCATAAATTCATTTAATCACTCGTATGCGAAAGTTAAAAGAAAAAGAAGAAAATATGGGGTACAACTAAAAAATTAAAAACAGCCTTGCATTGTGGCACATCTAAATCTAGGTGAGGGTTCTTATCAGAACCCCAAACCACGGTTGCATGATTCCTTGGACCCCCCCTCCGAACCGTCGTACAGTTCTTGCAAACCAAATCCCGATACATTTTCAAACCAACTCCCTCTGATACACTAATTGGTTCTCCAAAATTGGCGTACCACTTACAAGTATGTGGGAGCAAAGTACCGTTAAGTGCATACGTATAAGATGCAATGCAATGTGTGCAATCGAGTGAAGGGAGTTCAATAGAATATATGAACCAATGACTATATTGTAACTAAAAAACTATACAATAAAATGTGAAATGAGACCAAAATCCCAACACAAACTATGTGGAAAAAAGAGTACAAAGGAACGAACTCCATAAAAATTAAGTATTTAAGTATTTTGTATGAAAAATAATATTGAAATGCATAATTAGCTTTCTAGTTTCTAGTTTTCTACTATATACCTTGGAAAACTTGAAGCGCACCCAAAAAAAATTATAACATACCACTGACTGAACTTGCGAATTGAAGCAAGCCACCCCCTCGAATCCAAATTTTCTAAGTCGTGAATTGCATACCCGAGTTCGTACCATCACCTGACATACCTCGTACTGTGTAACTATGCCCCAAACTAGATCAAGCCACCATTAAGTAAATTATGATGAGTTCGGATAAGATAAGCCTTAGTTTTAGCAATTCATCATTCGTTAGCTCATGTCTTATCCGTTGCTCACACGGATTTCAAAACTGGTCAATCAGATATGGCATAAATCCAATCAGCCCATACTAAGACTTCCCAGAGCATCTGTCCCAGCAAGAACAGATTGATTCTCGCTTAGTCTGCTACAGCAAAATGCTACTAATATAGAGTTTGCCAAGGAAGAGAGATTAAATTGTGGAGTACATCTTGTCATTTTATATTACACCAAGAGAGGATTTTGGTTATTTGAATAATAAATTAGGGTTTAGATTATACTCCACAAATGTAGAAATGGAAAACAGAGAGAAAGAAGGTGAGATGGAAAGAAATAGGAGAAATATCAGAGAAGATAGCGATCAAGTCCAAAAGTAACTTATATAACAGGAATGGTAGAAACAAATATTTTCAGTCTGATGTAACTTATTTTTTGGCCGCTTCAACTACTCATATGCAAATGGAATTAAAATTATTGAGCCATTTATAGCTTCAAGTCCAAAAGTAACTAGATTCAGGTCATGCTAATTGCTAACATTCAGTTAGCTATCTGAAGTAGCCAGAGCAATTGGATTAGACTAATTTCACAACTGCGCCAGGAATCATGTGCTTCTAAGATGGGGAGGGGAGAAATGAATGTGGTCATCATACTCTTTTTTACCTCTCTATTTTCATTAAATTATATAGACTCGAATCAAAGATTCAAAATAAAGTAACAACTTAGAAAAACTCAAGAGAAAGGCATCACCACCATGGCTAAGATTGAAAGGTTTGATCTTGTGCCTATGTCCAAATGTATCAGCCAAGAGAAAGACACGCTAAAATGGAACACCTATGATTCCTACAGTCCCATACAGGAATACAAATCCATTGGGTTTGGTTATTTAAAAACCATATGATAGGACAAACTAGGAGTTGGCAAACATACTTTAACATCAGTTTGGACACAAAGGAGGGGATGGGAGGGGAGTGATTGACTTAAACCCAAGGGGAGAGGGTGGAAAGGAAAAGGGTGGAATATATTCATTTGTGTTTGAATAGAAAACAAGGGGATGAGAGGGTACACTATAATATGTGTTTGTTTAGAATAGGACATGGGAAGAGAGGGGAGCTACTTGACCAGTACGCCCTTTTAATAAAATAAGAAAAAACGCCTTTTGGTTTTCTCATATAAGGCAATATTGAAATTTTAAGAAAATTCCACTTGAAACCCCTCCCCTCCCTTCCCTATCCGTCCACTTTTGGAGGGTTAAGAAAGTGGCTGAATTTTCTAATTTTCATCCCTCCCCTCCCCTCCCCTTGCTAACTTAAAAGTGCAAACAAACACAATGCTAGGAGGGTTAGCATTGTAAACCTCCCCCTCTTCCCCCCTCCACTCCTGAAAAACTCTACCCAAACTCAATGTAGTTTGCAAAGGACAGTTGGATATTCATGAAACATCAGAAATACTGGATTCTCTGCTACAGATATTCTAAATTTAGGTGATCAACATGAACATAGTGAAACTTAATGGCATTATTGTTTACATACCTTGATAGGACTGCACGGGTCTCTAACATAAGTTGCTCAAGCTTGCTGATGTCCATGAGCATGGAGGAATCATCAGAACCACTGGAGGGCACAACCATTAACTGCCTGTAGGCAGCAGCATTTTCTGGTACCAAGTAGCTTATCCAGCTGCTTGGTTCACCAGCGTTCATGAAAAGGTCCAATACCTGTATGATTGTATCATGCAGTTGTTCCTTTCCAAAGGATTCCTTCAGCTTCTTTCTGCACATGGAGTTTAGACATAAACAAAGGACACAGTTCGTTTCGAAAGTCCAATTATCATGTTCTGCTAAAACATTTAGGAGCATGGATGTTTAGCTAAGCCTTGGCTAAAATGATTATCTTGTTCAGAAGGAAGGAAAGATTATCGCTAGTTAAGAACAAGAGCAGAATAACACCTGCTAGTTTTGATTGTGCTAACAGCAATTAAGGCAATGACAATTTATCAGCTACAAGAATTTCTGCATGGATCATAAACAAAATGAGTTTAATGAGTTTCCGAAGGACTCAGCTGCTTACTCTTTTAAAATTTCCATGGCAGCATTCTGCATGTTCGTAAGCAATGTACCGATGCCATAAGTGGAGAGGTAATCAGCAGTTGCTAGGAAGTCCTGTTGACCATGCCAGCTAAATGAATCTGCATCATCCTTGGAAATATATTCCAAATATGGTCAGCATTTTAAATTATGGATCAAATCCATATGAACATATTAAGGTTCTGACAGTTTAAAATAATGGTTTCATATGAAAGAGAGAGTTACTGAAAAAAGAAATGTATTGGGAGAACTTGAACCTTCCAGTTTCCACAACCCACACCCAGGCCTTTTACCTCCTGAGCTGGCCTCAGATGAACTAAAAATATCCAATGGACTAAGCAAATTGGTGGTATGGCATAATTATGCATGCAATATCAACTACAAAACCTCCCCAATGCATATTAATTATCAACAAAGCAATTTCAAATTTGTACATTTACAATCCCCGAAAGGTGTCATTTGTCTTCGAGGACAAATAGTAGTAAGTTTCTGCTTTGATCACAGAATCCACAAAAGTGTATCTTGTTATTAAATACTAATTAAACTAATTGATGTTGCAAGTAATTTAATTCGTAATGCACAATTGCACGTAATCAGAGAAAAGGTCCTTCAACAGTCGGTGTTAGCAAAATTTAATTGTGAATTAAGCACTATAGATGAATGCCAAATATACTGATTCTAAATATACTCAATTTTTTTTTCTTTTTTTAGACTAATTTCTAATGAGTGAACATTAAAATGTCAAAGTTTTTTTGTCAACCTTATAATCTTTCCTTTCACTGATACCTTAAATCTTAAAAGAAATATACCTCTGTAAAGCAAAGAAATAGCAGTCCAGTTTCTACAAGTAAACCTTTACATGATTATTTCTAGATACCCTACTCTGATAAAGTAAATTTTTCGCTGTTGGTAGATCTGACAATTATCAAGGATCACAAGATGTTTCTTTTTCAATTTAAAAAAGAGATGAAACCAGAACTACAGCTGGAGCTGCTTGAAATTGTGATGCATATTTATGATGAGAAATTGACACTCAATTCGAAGTCATGACTTGTGATCATAAACCTTGACAAGTGATGAATTCAGACGAATAATTAGCATTTAAACAACTGCCAAAACAATCTAAAAGCGAGAAAAATATGCATACGATCGCCAATATTGAACCTAGGACATCGCAGATAAATGATTATTCAAGACCGAGTTAGAATTTTGGCATAAATAAAACTCAAAAAGTCAGGTTCAAGCTCATTCTTGGCCTCTTCAATTCAACAAAGCTTAACTTAGTTGAGTTCAAGCTGATTTGTGAGTTATGAAGCAATGCTGGAACATGAAGGAAAGTATAATGAAGCTCACGCTTCCCCACAACCAGCTGCATGCAACGACGCGCTCCGCTTACCAGAGTCAAATTTCATCTCACTTTTATCAACACAATTAGCTTTCACAAACACAATTTTCTTTCTTAAGTTTGCATACAGTTCTATTTCCAATATACTTGACCCTGATGTTTGATCATATTTGTTCAAATGATTCACAGAGATCTTCCTGTATGTTCCTCAATCCAACATTCTACTGCAAAATGATTATATAATATTAATACAAATAAGAAACTGTCCAAAACATGCTTGACCAGAAATTTGTGATTGTGAGGTTGTTCAATCAATATAAAAAATGTTATTCAAAATAGAAATTTCTAATGGCAACTTGCATCAAATTCCAAGATGTATTATATATATATATCTGGAGTCTGGACATAGGCATGAAATCATTTCTTTAACTAGGATAGAAAAATACCAGAGACTGAGAGCTTTCAGAGCCACGGGCAATTTCAAGATAGAGGTGCCTCCCTAAGATGTTCACCTGAACCCTAACATACAAGCAAAGCATCGTCATCGACCACAACGAAGCCACTGTCCTCGTGAAACCTGAACCCCCAAAAGATTATAACCCCGATACCGAACATAAGATAATCAATCAATCACCGCAAAATTAAAATTTAAAACCATACATAGACAAGTAAATTCTTCTCCTTAGGTACAATGTAAAAATATTCCACTAAAAACTAAATGGCAATATAATTGCTGACGTACTTAGAACTTTAAGCTTTTCCCAAAGCTCAATCTTCTCCTTTGGAGATAGAGCACTAGACCGGCCTCTACCCTGTAGCAACTTCTCTGTCAAATGCGAGAGGTCCAAGTCCTCAGATATCCTCACCCTCAAATAGTTCATAGAATACGGCAATGTAACTGTATCTGAAACTCTCTGAATGTTCTCAAAGTGTGATTGCAACCTACCGATTAAATAAAAATAAAAATAAACAAATTTAAGATGTGGGTAACCAAAAATAGAGATCAAAATCATAACTTTTTGAGAAATAGAGAACTACTGGGCCTTAATGAGCTCATCGACTTCGCGTTCCTTCTCCAAATCAAAGGTCCTCTGTCTATGAGCATCATAAAGCTTGTACAGCGCATACCCACTTCCTAAAACTCCAAGAGAGATCAACAATTTTCTTTTATGCCGACTCCAAAGGGACCTGCTTCAATTAGAAGAGACGAAAGATGATTAAATTGAAGTGAACGAATCAAAGAGGGAGAGGGAAACTAGCTGAATCAATTAAGAATCAACAAAAAAACTAAGCTAACCTTAGAGAGAGCATGGCTAAATCATAATTTCATGCAGACCCATTTGGATTTAGAAGGGAAATAATACTGAAAATGATGGAAGATAGCTTTTTGATCTCTCTGTGCTCAATAAGGGGAAAGGGAAAAGGATTTGAATTGGGTTTTTGAGAAAGAGGAAGAAGAACTCTGACCTTCCCTCGAGAAGAACAGAGAGCGGAAGATGATGATAGAGAGAGAAAGAGGGGGGAGAGAGAGAGAGAGAGATCTTTGTTAAATTGTCGAAGCAAAAAATTTACAGATAACAAGGGCTCTCTTTTACTGAGAAACCAATGACGCACGACTCGAGGAAAGAGAGAATGCCAGAACGATGGGCATCTTTGGGTTCGGGTTGGATTTGGTTTTGGGTACTGAATCTCTATCGAAAGATTTCGCTAGACGTTTCTTCACAGGGTTAAGTTCGCGAAACCGCCCTTTGAAGTTTTGGGGATTTTGCACGAAGGCCCCTGAACTTTTTAATTCCACTAAATAAAAATGAAGTTTTCTCACTTAGCCCTAAAAAGTTACACGGTTATCTCTGATAATGCGGCTTGTACTAGGCATTCGACCAAAATGAAGAAAATACCCTCTGGACAAAAAACAATCCCTTATTAATTATTTTTCATAGTTTGTTGCAAATATAATGGAGTGAATATGTATCACAGTGTCAGTACAACTACCAATGCAAGGATAATTCAGATATTTCTATTTTTCTAGTCTCCATTTATTCAATGCGGGTGTACATTAAATTTTTATTATTTAGCTTAATCAATGAATGGATAAAGCAAGACCTAAAGGTCTCTTTTTGCAAAATATACAACTTCTTACAATCAAACAAAAGCTTCAAAACGAATATAGGATAAATTGCACTTAAATGACTTATTGTTTTCATTTTTTTTTTACTTAAATTACTCAACTTGTAAAACGTTTCAAATAAACGCACTAAAGCATTTTCCGTTTGAAAATATGACGCCATTAATTCTTTACACTTTAAGACGAAAGTACTCCCGTTTAATTTTTCATGTAAAACATAACATTAAGGTTGTTGTGCGTAAATTAATGGCATAACAAGGGTAATCATTGACCTCATATTGTCACGTGACAAGTTACAAGGAAATATTCTCCGAATATTTCAACAGAATAATAATGTTCTAAACTTTTAGGACAATTATTTGCAATATTTATAAATTTTAGAGCATTTATTTATAATATTTATAAATTTGAGATCAGAAAACGAAAACAATAGGAGATCTAAGTGCAAGTTACCCAGAACATTTATTCGACGCCCATGCCCTTCAACTGCCACCAAAATACTTAGCGGGCATCGACACATTTAAGGCTTTAGCAAGTGGGAGAGCCAATTTAAAAAAAAGAAAAAGAAAAAACCAAACCATAAGTTTCTTCATTTTCTGTATTACATCCCGCTATATAATCTCTCATTCGGTACATTATGCACTAATGCTATTCGATGTATTGCCTCAGTGAGTCTCCTTCTTGATTTGCGATTCGAGGGGGCTAAACGAGGAAATTTCGGGGAACGCCCATTAGAATGTATTATTAGCAGGGGTGCAAATGGTTCAAATGTCTTAATGATATGATACTTATCATATTCATATCTGCTATCCAATCATTAATACGGATACAGATATGCATCGAGGAGGAAAATCATATTTATATCCATCAAAATTGAATACGGAGTAGAATATATATACCAATATATATTCAGATATATATACATGTGGATTTGAACTTGATATGAGAAAATTGAAAAAAAAAATTGATAAAGAGAGTTTATTAGTATGTTGGTAATATCTGAAAAGCCAAGATTAGAACTCTTAATCATCAAAATTAATGATGTCCTCTCCGATATAGATATTTAATGACCATATTTGTATCATATATCCTCGGGTGTGGATTTTTTTTTTTTTCACCCCTAGTTATTAGGGTTTTAGTGTGGGGCTGAGGTTTTACAAACATGTTATTGATTCGAATAGGAATTTTGTTACTATCTGTTACGCCTCGTCTGGTACACGGGAATCAGGTAAAATTAGAAAGTAATTAGGCAATGAAATGGAATTAATTTGAGAATGACATGCTCGTTTTTATTCTCACCTTTGGGTATAATTTAAAGAATGTAGTGGGAATAGACATGTTTGAAAGTTATCTATTTTTTTATTCTCACTTAAGTGAGAATGTCTATTCCCTATCATCTCATTGGGATTAAACATTCTAGCTTCAAAAAAATTGTTGGCTTAAGAAAAATGAGAAGAGAGCATTATCATTCCATTCTAACTCCTCCAAATACCGAACAAGACATGTAGTTAAGAGCTTACGCTAAGGGGTTGCTTGGTTCGCTTAAAAAAGCCCAAAAAACTCCTTCCATGTCTGACGACCCAATCCACATAGAATAAATAGAGTTCAGGATTTTCTTTCCATGGATTTGGTTCACAAGTTAAAAGTGGGAAATGGACTAGGAAAGAGGCCTCTACCTCAGCAAAGTGGGAAATAGCCATTTCCACTCAAAACAAGCATAAATGGGCTGAAACACATTTTTATAGGTGATTGTTTATTCCCTCATCGTACTTGTTGCTCTTCAGTTAATATTTTTGGGGGTAAAGGGGCCAGGGTTACCGTTTTTCTATTCCTCTTACATCGTCTTAAACTACCTCCATATCTCTGAGTAAGAGTTCTTTTTTATAGCCAAATCATCGATAAGCTATCTTCTATTTTGTGTTGATGATGAAGATTACTTAACGGGCTAATGTTTTTAGCTGGATCATGGCAGGAATTTGTGCAAATTACTTCCTCACATATTTTAAGGCATTTAGGATTTGTCCCCTCCCTATTGCATATGGGACCATTAATTTTATTTAATATTTTGGCTAGTTATAATCTTTATGCACATGATACATAGCTACAAGGATTACCTTCATATTAACTGTAAATAATTCATAATAGAAGATTTGTGGAGATTACTAAATAATCATGTTTCAAGGATTATCTTTAGGTAGGTATTTTTATATTGCCTACGATTCACTTGTGTTTACACTTTGACCTTATGTTTCATGTAATTGCAACTTTATGTGAATATTTAGAAAACTAATTCTATCACGAACTTGTGCTTGCAAGAATCCTATATTGCCCCTATTTACATGACAATCGAAAAGTTTTTATGTGAACAACCTACAATGTATTTACATTGTATTAATGACTTCTAGTCTGGGTTATAAAAGTATTTGATTGTCATTTAATATTCTATTCATGGATTTCATTTGGTGACTTACTTACTTTTGGTGTATGATGAGTGTCAAAATAACTGAGATTAACATCCTACAATGCTTACTGACATTACACTGGACAGCTAACAGTAATGATATTGTACAAATTCCGAGGCCTCTGTCATAAATTTTATATACATACGGCTAGTATATTTTATGATTAATCAAGTTATTTTAGGTTTTATATATTATTATAGCATTTTTATATGAACTTGTTGAGCTTTCTCTTAGTAAAATTACCGTCCATAGCGGTCACCAAATAGTCCGTCTTTAGTGAGAGGTAATCTTACTAAACCATATACATTTTTCCATCCAAACTTCAAAAGCAACCAAACACAAGAAAAGTGGGAAAAGTATTATCAACCAGCAGTTTTCTCATTTGTTAATTAGACGCCAACCAAATAAAGAAAAAAATGTATAAATTCGGTTTACTATCATGTTTTATGTGTGAACCAAAAATAAACAACCATTTTCATGAAAGTTTGTAAAACCTAAGAATGAGTTTTTCACATGGAATGATGTTTCCCAATAAAATGGGAAACGAACCAAACTGCCCTAAAGAGAAAGATCACTACTTTTAATATCGTCATTGGTTTGTCTAGTGTATCGTCATGATTCATTCTAGTGGTCATTACATGCGCAAAGGAAAATCACAACCATTCATTGAAAAATCAATTGCTTTGGTAAAATTAATGGTCTCCCTACTGCTTCTTAATGATGGAGAGAATCAAATCCCAAACGCATAGCCCTCATTTCGGCAAAATCTGTATCCTAGTTTCTTTTCTTTTCTTTTTCCACTTCTTTTTTTATTTTTAAATTTTTTTGGAAGAATAAGAACTTATTCTGTTTTATGTAGAGAAGAAAATATATACGCATGATCGTGGAGAGGGTAGAGTTTACAGGTTACAGTAGGAAGAAGTATGATAGACAAACGTATATATTAGTTGATCTCTGAGAATGTCAAATCTCAAAAAGTAAACCTGAATTTTCCTTGAGGCTCGTTTGTTTCTCTCTTTTTCAAATCAATCAAATTAAGAATCGTGACGATTGTACAACCCATTTTTTTTAGGTTGAGTGAGATGTTCTACAATCGTTAATCGTGCAAGAGATTCAATATCATGGCAGCTCAAGAGTTTATGCGAAATTTGACGATAATCAGTTGCCAAATATCTTTTATAGAAGTATATTCTAATGAGATCGAGGAATATGCATTTCCATGATTCACCAAACTTTAATGCGTTGGCAAAAAACCAATTATAGCTAACCAACATTTTGCATCGTCTCTTATTATTATTATTATTATCATTGGATAAAATCCTCTTTTAGTTATAGTTTTATTTTATTTTAACTTTTTCCCTAATAATAGTCTATGCATAAACAGCAACCTTTTATTAATCAATAAATAATAAAAAATCTTCTCCAACACATTTAACTTATTATTAAATATGGAAGTACCCAATAAACTCACACCATTTTTTAATATAAACTGGTATGTCCAATGCACGCGATGAATCGCGCATAAACGACATATTTGTGCAAAAATATAGTTGGCATTGTTATGTAGAGTAGACAATAGGAAATTAACAATATTATGGATTTGATCAACATTATCATGAAAAGAATTTTAAGTTATGGGAAAGTACACTAAACTCCCATGAATTTTCAGCAAATTGCAGCAAACTTCTGTGAAGTTTCAAAATCACACTAAACACCCAATAATTTTTGCAAAAAAATCCTAACTTCTTTTGGGTAAATTACAATAAACTCACAATAACCTTCAAAATAACTTTTTACATTGTTTACTGGTGCTAATTTATGGAGGTTATCCGCAAAATGCAGAAAGGTATTGGGGTTTAGTGTGATTTTGAAAGTTCTTTTGGATCTACTGTGAAACACTAAAAGTTCATGAAGGTTTAGGATAATTTACCCTTTAAGTTATACGCAACATTCAGATTGAAAATTACTAAAAATAACTAATTTTGAATCTCAAAATTTACTGACCGTGAGAGATCAATTATTAGATAGGATACACTTGAAAGCATTGCATTACATACAATTCAGTGG